GAGCTAACATCTGTTGCCAATCCTCCTCTTTTTGCTGAGGAAGATGGGCCCTGGGTTAACATCCCTGCCCATCTTCCTCTACTTTATATGTGGGATGCCTGCCACAGCATGGTTTGATAAGCGGTGCATAGGTCCACACCCAGGATCTGAACCTTCGAACTCTGGGCCACCGAAGCAGAGTGCGCGAACTTAACCACTACGCCACCGGGCTGGCCCCTCTAATTTATATTTTGATTAAATAATTTTAGTCCATAAAAATTAATCTGCATCTCTGATCATTTCCTTAGGATAGATTATTTGAAGTGGAATTTTGGGTTCAAAAGGATAGTCATTTTTAAGGCTATTTACATATACTGTTAAATTGCTATACAAAAGGGGTATATCAACTTAGTCTCACCAGAAATGTGTTAGAATCCCAAGTTTTTTCTCATCCTTGACAGCATAAGGCATTATTTTTTTTAGCTTTATTATTTCATTGGCCATTTTTGCAATGCTGATTGTATGTGTTAAGAAATATTATTTGTAATGAATTCTAGAATAATCACATAAACTGCAAGAGAAAAGTCATGCCATTTCAGCTTAATTAGAATAGTTCGCTGAAAACAATTGTCATTTTCTTTTTTTTTTTGTGAGGAAGATCAGCCCTGAGCTAACATCCATGCCAATCCTCCTCTTTTTGCTGAGGAAGACTAGCCCTGGGCTAACATCTGTGCCTGTCTTCCTCCACTTTATGTGGGACGTGGCCTCAGCATGGCCTGACAAGCAGTGCATCAGTGCGCGCCCGGGATCAGAACCCCGGCCGCCAGTAGCGGAGCGTGCGTACTTAACCGCTAAGCCACAGGGCCGGCCCCTACAATTGTCATTTCCTAATGCCGATTGCATAGCCTGTATTTTGGTGGCTACTGGGCTAGGAAAAAGGACTATTAAACTCTTAACAATAATGTTTCTAATACATTTTTATTACTACTTTATTTTATTTTAATTTTTTTCAAAGGAAACATCTCCATTTAAAAGACCTTTGTTTCAAGTAGTACTTTTTTCTTCTTATGAAAAAAAATTAATTCACACATACTCAGAAATAGTACATTACGTTTCTTAAGATAACTAGACTCCTCCCCGACCTCCAACTCTCCTCTAGGAAAAGTCATTATAGACTTCTCTGACTCGCCCTTAGAAATTGCCTTATTTATGCACTTTAATTTCCTAGAACTAAGCTGAAGAGTGGTAATAAAGTTAATGAAACAGGAGGCAAATGAATATTTAAGAATCAGCATTTACGGAAGCAATTTTAGGCAAATCTATGATTTAACAAAGTTTATCTTTGATCTTTGCTCTTCCGCAAAACAAAACATTTATTAAAAACCTATTATGTGCCAGGCACTTTGCAATATGCTGTTGATATAAAGTGAAAAAGATACTGTCTCTGCTCTCCAAGGGATCACAAACTGATGGGAAGAACAGACTTGAGTAATTATGGTAATATGGTAATGCCTAGAAAAGACATGGGTGGAAGGCTCAGTGGGGGCCTGGAAGAAGAGGTGGCTTGCTGTCTGGACGGGTAAAGAGGTACTGTGAAGCAGCATTCGGAGGGATGAGTAGGATTTGTCAGCTTTAATGGTGAGAGGTTAGCAATGGGATATTCTGGGCAAAAGGAGCAGCACATGAACAGGAACTGTGACCAGGTATCGCATTGTCCTTCTGAGGGCCTGTGAAGCCCTCAGCATAGCCTGGTGAGAGAAGAGGTCCTTCTGACGGAGTGGCACAAGGTGAGGCTGGAGACATGAGAAGACCTCAGATCACAAAGGGCCTTGTAGGTTATGTTGAGAACACTAGGGATGCAGTGAAAGATTATAAGCAGGGAAATGACTTGATCATACTTTTTGCTCCTGAAAGATCTCAAAATTGTCAACGGCATTTTTGCGAGGTTGGGGTGAATGGAGGCAAGTTGCAAGACAAGATGTAGAGAGACCACTTAACGGGGTAAGAAATTTAAATGGCCCAAACCAGTGGCTCTGAAACTTGAGCATGCATCAGAATCACCTGGATAACTTGCCGTGAAACAGATTATCAGGCTCCATCCCCAGATTTTCTGATTCCCTAGGGATGGGATGAGGCCTAAGAATCTACATTTCTAACATGTTCCCAGATGGCTTATGGTGACTTCCAGGTTTTTGATTTAAGCAACTGGCCAGATCCTGGTGCCATAAAATGAAAGAGGGAAAGCACGCAGCAAGTTCTTCTTTACCCAGCCATCCTCCTTCCCTTTCAATGCTGTTTCCACCAATTCTCCAAGACTTACATGCTGCCTGCTGGCTGCCTCCCTACTCCAGCACCCCTTCTTCATGAGCAGCACCTCAGGCTGCTGAACTCCGACTGACCTCATTTGAATGTCCCTGGCTTATGCTCCCAGGACCCAGGTCTCTGTTAGCTTATGATGGACCCAAATGGACCAATGTGTCATTGATTATGAAAACAGGAATTTGATGCTCCTCCAGGATGAGAAATTTCTACTTTAATATTAGTCTTCCTGGAACCATGCCTCAGCCCAATGCAGAGACCCAATTGGGAATTTCATGTACCACAATAGGCAAACTGCAGGATTCATTTCTGGGTGGTGGGGGGTCTTCTGACATTCCCTGATGAACAGACACTTGCCCTACCAATGCATATAGGCAGACCTATATAACTGACAGATGCCAGTTAAAATTTCCATTCTTTAGACTCTGCCCCAGCTGTAGCGGGTCACAAACAGGTATGACTTATCTTTGCCAAAGAAAAATAACATTGACTTTTCTACAGAAAACAGTATGCAGATGTCTCAAAAAATTAAAAATAGAAATATCACATGATCCAGCTATCCCACTACTGGGTATTTATCCAAAGAACGTGAAATCAACAATTCAAAGAGATTTATGCATCTCTATGTTCATTGCAGTATTATTCACAATCTGCAAGACATGGAAGCAACCCAAGTGCCCACCAACAGATGAATGGATAAAGAAGATGTGGTATATATACACAATGGAATGCTACTCAGCCATAGAAAGGAAAGAATCGTGCCATTTGCAACAACATGGATGGACCTTGAGGGTATTATGTTAAGTGAGATAAGCCAGACAGAGAAAGACAAACACCGTACGATTTCACTCATATGTGGAAGATAAACAAACACATCGATAAGGAGAACAGACTAGTGGTTACCAGGGGCGATGGAGGTGGAGGGGAGGGCGAAAGGGGTAAAGGGGCACATATGTATGGTGACGGGTAAAAACCAGACTTTTGGTAGTGAGCACAACGCTGTCTATACGGAAACTGACATATAATAATGTACACCTGAAATTACACAATATTATAAGCCAATATGATCTCAAAATTTAAAAAAAGATAAAAAAGAAAAATAGTGACTTTTAAAGATATTTCCATTTGATTGTAATCTAATAACCCTCTGCTTTGAATAACTTGCTTTAATTACATGAGCAGGAAACAGATCAGACAGTGGGCATAAAATCTTCTTCCCTGAATCAAATTATGTACGTGTGTGTAAACATTCTTTCTCTTTTTCTCTCTTTCCTTCTTTCCCTCTCTCCCTCCTTCCCCTTGGGAAAAATTACTTTATCCCATTTTGAACCAGATTTTTCATCTGCACAATTAGGACTGTAACCTACCTTACAAGGTGTTGGGTGGATTAACTGAAATAATGTATATAAAGCATCTAGTCCAGCGTCCTGTATAATAAATATTCTATTCTCTCCTTCTCTTTTTTCCTTGATGATTTGTTATCTAGCCACTCTGGTGGGAAGTGACCAAACTCTCGACATCTTGGAAAGGCACCATTGTTAGGAATGAGTGAACCAGACAGTGGTGACGTCATATTGATCAGGGTATACCCAATGAGCCAATTACAGATTTCCACAGGTCATTCTGCAAATACCATCAGCAAATGCCGAAGACTATTTTAATATTGAGCATTGCTTCTTTTAAATTAGATTTTCTTAGGCTTCCCATTCTACTAGTTCCCTCATTCCCACTCCAATCATAGAAGTTATTGCATATTTGATTTTGATGTGGTCATTTGCTCGTAATTTGAGGAAATTCAACCTTTTTCTATAATAGGGAAAAAAAAAGATTAAGGATAAGCAAAAGAGTTGAGAGCATGTTGTATTCTGGCCCTCACGTTCTCAGTTCTATATGTTCTAAATGACATCATGGGTTGTTTTAATACAGCCATGTTCACACTTGGGGAGTTTTATCCTAGCTGCCATGAAGTAGGTATTTGCAGGATCTCATTAGAATGCTGTAATAGTTATTCATTGAGTACTTACTGTTGTAGTGACTTTGCAAGATCTATATTCCTACCTATGCCCATATACACATTCACTCCCATATCTGTAATCATCATCCATATCACCTCAGGAGTTTTTATAAAAGTCTTAGAAGGAGGGCTATAGAACATGCCTTCATTATTCCATGTCATAAACACTAATAAAGCTATTTGTTTTCCAACTTTGGAAAGGCATTATTTTCAAGAACCTGATGGATTAGATTTCTCATATTTGTTAAGTTCCCTGCATAACAAAATAACTGGATGGGAAACCTTTGTCAGGAAATTTGATTATTTCTAAATTCATTTTATTGTTGTCCCTGCTGCTCCCCCCAACCCCCATCCCTGCCTGACTCAGCTAAAGGGTATATGGCAATATCCACTCAATATTAAAATATATGACCAGAGAGAATATCAGATAAATATGGCAAAGGGAAAAAAAATCTAAGTTGAAATTATTCTTAAGACAATTTAATAAGTATCGGTTCACCTCAAGGATAAAAAATTTGATTTGGTACTAGGATTAGGCTCAAATTCCACACTTCCTGGAAAATCCCCAGAGCAACCCTTGCTATTAACGCTGATACTGCCATAGCGTAGTTTATTTTATCAAGCGTGTTCAGCTTTGGTAAATTTTACCCATAAGTGGGGGCTGGGCTCAGCATGCTCTCGTACTCACCTATGAATCTTATGATCCTTCGGAGTAAGGGGTTCAGGTAACAGCATTCTCCGGTTACAATTGTTTTCTCCTGGGCAATCAGAGATTCTCTGGTTGACTTTATGAAATACATGGATATCTCACCAATAAAAATCTGGGGAAGGAATGTTTAAGAAATGTCAAGTTGGAGAGCTGTCTGATAAAAGAGACCAGTGGTTTAAAAAAATTTTTTTTTTGAGGCTCCACAATCCTTTTAAAAGTTATCATGTTGGAGAGATGGAGAGTTAACTAGTAGTTTACGTTTAACTTTTCAAAAGAATTAGAGAAAGCAATAATTGATAATTTCAGATAGATTTTAGGCTATAATATTAAAGTCTAAGGTCATATAAAAACAAGTTGAAATAATAAATTGTAATAGAATTTATGATAAGGCTCACTCATGCTGGGATTGAATTTTTTAACTGAATGTGTGAGCTGCAATGATGAGGAATGACTAGGACAGCCAATGTGCCCAATAAGGCATTATATGTACACATCATAATAAATTATCAGTTCATTATGTGGCAATACTACCATTATTTACATGATAAATACTTATTTTTGAACATGTTTGCCTGAGCTATATTTCTTCTACTCTGAACTGGTTGACTATCCCTTCTTAATGATTGGCACGTCTCCTGTTATCTTGAACTAATACATGTATATTACCAATTTAAATCATAATGCCTTTGCATAAATTGTAAGCTCCCTGATGGCAGGGACCACATCTTATATTTCTTCATTATGCTTAACCACCCAGAACAGTGTATTCTCATTTAAAATAAGGAGTGGCATGAGGCAAGTTGTCACTAACTCTGACACTGACACAATTGAAGACTGAGAACGATCAACGAAGAATAAAAAGTTAGTAATTACCATTATCTATTGAAAACTGGGTGTCAGGCACTTTATCATAGTATTTTTCATGCTCATAAGATCCCTAGTGTAGGTTTTATTACCCTTGCTTTACTGGTGAAGAATGAAAGTTCAACAAGGTTGTCACTTACCCTCCAGAGCATACAACGGGCATGTGGCTGAACTGAGATTGGTACCCAGGGCAACTGGGTGCCAAAGTTCAAGCCTGCTACCACATCATATGCCATTTTTATTTTTCCTAATCATAACTTCAACATTTCTCCAGAAGAATGCAATCCGATAGATGCTCGTCTTTGCTATGCATATGCTTGTGAGTTTAGATAAACTTGATTATGTTTTAGGAATTCCCATGCTTATATTCCTCCTGTCATCATGAAATATCTGTTTAGATGGATAAAGATGACAACATCATGAATGGCACATGGGTGATGGAAAGTAAACTATAGAATTTTAAAACTAGAATCATTTATAGATGTTTTTCCCGTCCTTTTATGAGTAAGGAAACTGAAGGTCTCAGGGACACGGCCACACATAGTCGGACAGTGTCTACTTCCGATATAGTCGGAAGCAGCTCTAGAATGTGGCCTACAAATAGATAGTTATCCTGATTGTGTAGATAAGACATCTGAGGCATAGAGGGCTTAAATAATTTGTCCAAGGTCGTCAGAGCTAGTAAGTCACAGACCCCAGCCCTGAAGCCAGGAAAACCTGGCTCCAGAGTCCTTCCTCTTAACTACTACATTTTCACTTAGTAGTGACTCAATAAAATATTTGTTGAATTTGTGTTTAATATTGAGAACATAGAAAACAAAACAAGTTAAATGCAATATGCTTTAAGCACTGAAAAACTCGTGATATTCAAGTACAAGATAGAATGGTGTAGTGGAAATAGAACTATGAGCAAGTCATATTCGGGTGGGGTAGGAAGTCAGCAGGGACAGACAGAATTCAGGGTCAGATAGGCAAACAATGGGCGAGCATGGATCCCCTTGGCAGGTGCTAGCTAGGTATGGCTGTACAGAGTTAGAAATATTTTGTGCCTAACATCCCTTGGAATTAACAATGAGGTAATGCTCTGCCTTGTAAAAATATTTGAATAGCTTCAAAAACTCAGCCATCCCTCTTTGTTCATAAGGCTCCTTCTGCCAAAATAAGGTGCCAAGGGGCTTTGTTTGTCCCTACCATACAGGATGGAACTGCATTGCTGTGCTTTATCTTAGTGAACAGATGGGGATAAATTCATGCATCCTCGGACACATGAAATAGTATTCTCCTGAGGGACCTTTCTCTGATCCCACAGACTAGCTTAGGTGTTCTTGTCGTACACGAACCTCTTACCTTGTGCTCCTCCTTTCTGGTTCTTATCACAAGTGATTACATATTATTAGCGTTATTCTTGGTTATGGGATTACCTGCCTGTCTTATTCTCTTATACCCCCAGGACCCAGCCCAGTGTAAGGTACATAGTAGTTATTCAGTGTTGAATGAATTAAGCATATTAGATTAATGAAGGTCTTTTGGGACATAGGTTTAATGAGATAGGCTATAAAGAAGGAAAAATGATTTCTATTATTTATCCTTCTAGACTCTGTGAAAATGTCACTCCCCTCCCAAAACCTTTGCCAGGTCCCCTCAGGAAAAGGGAGACTCCCTCTTGTCATTGCTCCCACAACACATTATACAGATCTCTATCCTCACATCTATGCAATTAATTCAATGATTATTTGTATGTCCCTGTTCATTGGACTATGATGTCCTTATGGGAAGGACTTATGCCCTTCTTTGTATTGGGACTAGTACAGGAACTGGTATTTAGCAGACTCAATCAATATGTGTTGAATAAATAAAAGATTAAATCTTTAGAGGATCTACTCACGGATAAAACCCTCTGACCTTCATTTCCCTAAAGATGAGCACTGCAGGAAATTCCCAATATGGACCAGGAAGCATGCAGTTCTTAGTGTATTGCTTAAGAATAAATAAAAACCAAGAACTAAATAATACAAAGTGAACTATCTCTTTTGAACTAAATTCACTCATATACTCATTTTGCATCCAACAGTTTTGGAGAGGGAGCTCCCACTCTGCCAGGAATTGTCCTAGCACTGGAGGCACAGCTGTGAACAGATGCATAGGGCTGGGGAGGCGGGGGGTGAGACACAAACTAATAAATATATCATGTAATGGTGTGAAATGACATATGATTAAAAAGTAAATCAGGGAAATGGGATGGAGAGTGATAAACATAAGAAGAAAAAAGAAATAAGCATTGCTTGCCTCAGCCCAAAGGCAATGTTTCAGAAGCCAAAAACATACTCCATAGGAAAGAAATATGCAAATTCTAGAAGTTCTCCATTCAGTGAAGCTTTCCACCACTCACACAAGAGGGCACAAAAGCAAGAAAATGTGTGAGAAAATCTACATATAACCTATCCTTATTAAAAATACACATGTGCACACACAGGTACACACACAAGAATCTAAACAAAACCATTCCCAGGCATACCAGACCAAACAGGACTTATCATGCAAAAGGGTGTGGGGCTCAAATAAATCTGTAAGTAAAATGTACTATGACTCTCATGTCAAAGGTGATAAGCAGCACAAGAATTGTTACTATCGGCCAACAATATTCAAATCACAATCGAGGTATGAAGCATAAAAGAAAAATCAGAGCAAGGAAATATACTAACCTATATATCTAGTTACTGACATAATGTTTGGAATATATTAAGTGATAATGAATATTTACATAAAGAAGAAAGGAAGGAAGGAAGGAAGGGGAGAGAGAGGAAGGGGGTCATTTTATGACTAACAGGTAGGAAGATATTCCTGGTTTTTAGTTAGGACTGTGATGGACATAAAGGTTGTTGATGAAACAATCCAGCTCTCTAGATCACAGTGAGTGGGCTTCAGCAATGTTCATTTTCCTGCATTTTACTGACCACACATAGGGTGCTACTTCCCCAACCACTGGATCCTATAGTCTCATATAGGTCCTGATTTTGCTTAGAGTGAGAGAGAGAGAGAAGGAGAGAGAAGATTCTGCTTGATAAAGGAAGGGGTCTCTCTTCTTTCCTGCTGGGCCTTCAGCTCACACTGGATGCCATGTTGCACACTGTGGCAGATTTATGACTCTGGTTTTGGCAATGGCTGGATTCTTCCATCTGTATCTTTGCCACACACACTCTACCTCTATCTACCACTCTGTTTGAAGAGCAGCTGGGACATGTGGGACTCTCCATGTGTTCAGCCCTGGCTGCCCTGTCTATTAGGACCTTTTGATTGTTGGCTAACGAATACCATATCACTCATAGCAAATGAGAGTACCCTCCAGTGAGAAATGATCAAGGCCAAACTCTAGATCTGACAATAAGTGAATTGCAAATGAATTCCACTGGTGCATTTCTCATCCCTCAGCTATGCCGGCTACAATCCCAAGTGACATAAGACATTTAGATAAAAGTAAATATACGTTAAGTAATGAGGATAACTGTTCTATCTTGATAAAGTTGTCTTCCAAATATGGAAACCCAAATGGCAAATAAACAAATGACCCTGGACTACAGTGAATCAGTTTGGTGTGTTATCTTTTAGACTTCATTTCTTTACAATGTTTTACAGGAGATCTGGTAAGCAATAAATAAGTGATATACATGTAAAATATTTAGGGGACAGTTTTTACATCTCAAAATATAAACAGTCTGCAGAAACACATAGTCACTGGAAGACGTATTATAATTTCATATTCTAGGGGGATTCACTGCATGTTATATGTGGTTATCATTAAAAAGGGCATCTAGAATTCCTGGAATATATGTTTTGGGTTCACACATATGCTATTTGTGGCTCTGGTACTTGGCAATATCAAAGTCGTTGCTGTTTCTTGAATGTGGGTTGTGGAGTTGAAATCCCAGCTCTCTTCTTTTTTATTTTTTTTATTGTGAAATTTTTGCTGTACATTATTGTTTGTCAGTCACCATATAAGTTCATCCCTCCACCCCTTGTACCTACCCCCCACCCTCCTAGCCCCTGGTAGCCACCAAACAGTTCTATCTGTTTGTGTGTTGGTTTATCTTCCACAGATGAGTGAAATCATGCACTGTTTGTCTTTCTCTTTCTGGCTTATTTCACTTAACATAATACCCTCCAGGTCCATCCATGTTGTTGCAAATGGGATGATTTTGTCTTTTTTTATGGCTTAGTAGTATTCTATGGTATATATATACCACATCTTCT